ATTTGCGCTGTTAAAATAACTATTCTTTTATATATTCATATGATAAGAATTTCCAGAATATTTATTCGGTAATTTTTCTGTAATAGTAATATCTCTAACGTCAACATGCACGACGTTGAATTATATCAATCCACGAACTGACGAGGACCCATGATATTTTACTGTCACGAGATTATTAATTTTAGTTTCAGACAGTATGTAATTATTTCGTCCGAATATGTTTCTTAGCAAGGTTTTTATCTTCATGGCTCATTTCCTGCGTTAAGGACAATTTCACTAGATTTGAGTAGAACGAGTTCACGCCCCTCTCATAAATCTTTGTCTTTCTTGAGCCTGAGAAGATCTGATTGGCGGCAATTTCCTTCATGCTCCTTTCGTCGTTTCCTTTCCGTCAGCATCTGATCCTTCTTTCTTGGTTGTGCACAACGGTCGTGCGAATTTAAAATATCACCAAAATACATACCCTAATATATATACACGTAACGAAATGTCAGTACCGCTCAAAGTACGGTAATTTAATCGCAATACTCTGAAATTAGCAGTAGCACCTGCCGATTTTAACGTCATAAATATTACGCACAAATTTCGGTTTATTCAGCGATCTACGAGGCGCAGACGTAGTTCTGTAATTATCGTGCTGTCTTTCTTATCGTAGAAACTTTACGAAAACGCGGGACATGTCGTGCTCGTAATGAGCTCTCCGTAGCGGCTTAAGGCACTGCGACGGCTCGGTGAAGAAAGTTAGTTATTTACTCGCCAGTGCTCTGACAGCTCGTTTACGTACGCAACGCTATTTCATTTCCTAGACGTTTCCGGATAGGCACTTTCGCGGGCAAACACATTAAGGCGCGCCCGACTGCTGTTCCAGATCTCCGGCAGCTCTTTCAGGATACTTGATTTTACGATCTCTGATCTACCTTCCTTCCACTTAGTTTAACTTCGCTTGATTGAGCCACCTTTTGCAAACACGTTAACCTTTCGGTTGACTTAATAATTTGCTTCATAAATCCGTGTTTAAATCGTAACCGATTGTTTAAACATATATCTTGGAGAGGAATTGAGGCGTAACATTGTAAAATAATGTTAAGTGCCTACGGGGTGCCTATACGGTGATATTTGACTTTAAAGATTTCTGTGTTTTATAATAGTCCTTTTAATTTTGATTTTGTCGTTGATGGACACTACTTGTAGATGAAGTATAGCGCGTGTATATGTAAAAATATTTTGGTGTATTTTCGAATTTACAAATATAAACATAATTATTGAAAATCCATCATGACTTATTTCCTCGAGAAACGATCTCGAGTCAAGAAGGATATCGAAGTAATTTACGTCACGTGTCCCAATAAAAACTTCGCGTGTGGAAGAAATTTGTTCAGCACTCGATCTACGAGTTTTGATGTCGGTGAGGGGAGGAAATTTGAGATGTTCCGTTTCCGTCCAAGGAATAATTGTCCGAGATTCCGGTCACGAGTCACTGGAACTGAGAGCCGTTAAGCCGGAACTAATTGAACTGTTGTTAAGGGGAGGCGGTCAGAGGTGAGCGCAAGGGTGCTGTAACTTGGGTATTATAGAGATTCTCTGACAGCGTAGCATCAAATCCCCGGTGATAGATCCCGCGACATGATGGCCTGCAACGCCCGGAATCATTAATACAGTCTGTAAATTTTCGAGAGTTTAAGCATCGGATATTTTAACATCGATGCAAATCCGATCATCTATGCGAGCTTTAACAAATTCATATTTGTATCTAGTATAACGTGTACAGTTAATATATCTTTTTTTTTTCTTGTAACATAAATAATTTTATCGGTATTTACTTGCGAGATGATACGATCAGTGAAGCGAATTGTCGTACTCAATTCTACTAAAACCTTTACTTTTCCTCACTTTTATACTAACTACCACAACTGAATAAAAAATATATTCACGGTTCGAAAAAAGCCATTTAGCCACTGTATACACTATGACTGAGAGTTCTCATCAACGAGTTGGAAAAAAAGCGACGACGTTGACAGAAATGTGGCGGAGGTGAACTGCGACTGGATTTTTGTTCCACAGCTGGAGAAAAACATTACACAGCGCGAAACTCTTGACGGCTGGCACGATGGTTGTCTGGCAGCCATCCCCGTGATCTGGATTCGTTCACGTGAATGACGGAATCCGCCGCGGCGTACACATGTAGATGTAATATTTTCGTAAGAGATGCTACGTTACTTTTGAGCGAGGTGCGGCATACAGCGAGCCCGGTGAAGGTGCAAAAATAAAATAAGAACAAATGAGAGAACCATTTCAGTCTGAATGAGTGTACACAATCACTGACTGTGAAGACAACTAGAGGAAGGAAGAGGAAAAAAGATGGACGAAGAACACGCTCGGAAACAAAAGGGTCTGGCGTCTTCCTGTTTCGTACTTTCCGCGTGCTGGTCTGCGTTATTCGCCGAGGGTGTGAATGCCAGTACTTCGGTAAATGCTTTTCGCCGGTTCGCACAAAGTTCGCACTTGCAAGAATGTACGCATGGAGGAAGAATGGAACTGTCCACGTATATATGCAGGTTACGTTTGTTTTGTAATGGAACATCGTAGGTTTTGGTCGCTTTTTATGAAAAACTTATGAAAAGTTTTTCGATTCGCGTATTCTCGTATTTTTCGATTTCCCGTAGTATATTGAAATTTTCCTATCTATATCTTATGTATATATTTAAATTATATAGAATTCCGAAACATGTTTACACGGAGTTATTTAGTTCTTTATAGAAAATTACAGATCTCTTGATGAGATTGGATTTTACATGACCGCGGTAGAGTTAATTACAGTACGCGTGCCTGCATAAGAGGTGTCTGATCGCGCGGCGACTCACGTTGCCTCTAATTCGGATTTACGAGCGAAAGTCTGTACGGTCAGATACGGAACTGTGTAGCTCCGTATCTGGCGGGGCAGATAATTGTTTTCCACGCCGTTGTACCGGAAAAGCATATGTCTGATGCGGAGAGCGCGCGAACATCATCGTGGAAAAAACAACCAGATATCATTGTCAAGGGCGAAGATGAGACACGAAGTGAAGTTCGATGGCGATGACATTCACGTACACATGTAGACATGTAGACACGCTGCACGCAGACACGCAAGCACGCGTGGTTAGGTAAGAAAGGGTGTTGAGGGGAGAGGGGGGGCGTTAGGTTGGGCGTCTGGTCCCATTGTCCATATACGCGGATAGGCTGTCTCTTTACTGAATGCAAGCCCGAGTTTTTCTGAAGGGCGGCGGAATACCAGGGGGAAAGGGTGGGAAGGTTGTACAGAGGGAAAGGCGAAGGGCGTGAGTCGCCTAGGGGTGACTCGGCCGACGACGCGACCCCCGACGCGACTCTTCGTCGCACAGACAGCAGACTAGAGGGGCGTGCAGGTATTTTCCAACACCCCGACAAACCACGGACTTGCACCACTTTATCGTTACGGGATCTTTCACTTTCGATTGTCGCACGCGTCGCGTACGATACTTCAACGTTATTCAAGATACACAGTGTAATATTTTTTTTTTTTCAATTAATGCGGGACGTTATGAAAAAATGTATGAAATACGGAAATGTAATAAATATGAATTACGTTTTGTTTCTTAAAGAATTATCTTTTAATTTGATAAAGTTCTTGATATTTTATACTTTTTTGTTTATATAAACCACGTTAAAAAACTAATTCGATATATGTACAGACCTAAAGAGAAAAATATTGTTTAGCTTATACACGCTATGCAGCTTTCCATCTGTTTATTCTAGCGGTGCTATACATCATCATAACATGTAATTAACTTACATTACACAGCCCGTTGTTCCAGAGGCAGGTACATAGTCGTATTTCGAAAAAGAACACGTTAATTTTCTTCGTTGAATTTACATTTCCTTAATTATTTCTTTTAATTATACCATAATTATCTACGTACAAACGCAATTCAACGGTGTTCGTATCAAGATACGATCAGTGAAAAATATTTTATGTTGTATTTGTGACGCGTAAAGTAATTCTAATCGTTGATATACCGAAACTCATCAACGGACATGCTTAATCGCGTTGTTTTATCGTAAAGAGCCTGGAGATATGGATCCTACTTTGTCGTATACTCGGACGTAACCGAAGTACTCAAGCTCTATAGGGCAAGTCGTCTCATCAAAGAAGACGGAGAACGGCGGGGGATCATAGTCATCTCGCTATCCCCGTTCTATCTCACGAAGTAGAGTACGTGCAACTACTTTCTTCGCGCTTCCTTCCCTTTTCCCGGACTGGCTTGACTATCCTTCCCGTCGACTTGATCTCCCCGCTCCCGCTTTCCTCATTCCGCCTTGGACGCGCTCTACGATCACCAGAGGCGCGGCAGTTTTGCCGATTTAAGGTTGTCGAAGTTATAAAGCTTCTCAAGCGTTCCCTCGGGTTCGCAAGTTTTCTTGAAAGTCCTCCGTTCTCCGGCTACCCATCTCTTTCGCCTCTCCACATTCCCAGCTCGCAGCCTTTTTCCTTCACGATTACCTGTAACGTGTCAAAGGAGTAATTTTCCTGTTTCGTGTTCCAAGTTTCTCTTGGTTACTTACTTATAAGCGGAGATAATGCTCGCTGCAGCTCCACCATGGGAGAATTTTAAGTTGTCGAATTTTACGTATCCGCGGACTGACATCAGAATTATGAAGAATTCTATACCCTCGTATAAACATGCCGTACGTATATTTCGGCATACGTTCTTATTGATGGATCACCTGTGCTATATCTAGTTGGCGTGGAGGAAAGTTTGAAATTTTGAATAGCAAACTTTATGCATCTTCGCTATTTACGTGGTTGTATATGTAGAGTTGTTCAATCTAGGAACTCTTTAAATTTCCTCTGCAGTAAACTCTTGAAACATTTTATATTCATTTTTAATACGTTCTAAACAAAATCGAAAACGTTTGCAATGTTTAACAGTATGAAATTATTCAAGTTGATATCTAATCAATCGTAACGTTTCTGTTCTCAGATATGTTGCCCACAATTGAACGTTGCTGGTTTGTCGGGATAAGAATGTTGCTGCGTCGACGCAAGTGCGCAGTGTGACGACCATCGGATTACATGCGATGGAACGATTGTTTTAAAAAGGAACGTGCAGCTCTCACAGTGCAAGCGCGAGGGATCGTGTGTTACACGCCGTCATCGAGAGGGAAGTCGACGATAATGGTGAGTTCATCTTTTCAGCGAATTTCTGTGCTACTTTTACTGTTTTGTCGACGAGTCATTATTTTCCGTTCATGCGAGCTCGGCGCATTTGAATGTGAATTACCGGTTATTACCGCGAGTTTTCCGTCGTGGATCAGGATCAACGACCGAAGCCGTAGGGATATTCGACGAGTATTACGGGTTTTGCAGTCGGCTCTCGCGCAAACGCGTTCTTGGTCATGGGACGGTTTTTCAATTTGTCACTTCTTTCGCACCATTGCATCGGGCAAAATAATGATTCCTTTGAAACGTGGTTTCTTCCTAAACGGGCGCTACGTGACAATGAATCCGTCGTAAATACACTTTCCAATCGGACCGTGTGCATTTGAAATCGTTCGATCAGACGCCTCGTTGAGTGCACGCTTACGACGTACGTGATACGATCGTAGTGTTGACTGTGAAGATCAAAAAATCATAAATACGAAACGAGTTTTATATTCTATAACTCGCGAACCAGCAGAGGAAAAAGGAGATGCTGAGAATCCAGTATCTCGCGCGTTTGTGAACATTCTTGAGACATTTGTAAGGAGGATCATGTCTCGAAGATATAACATATTGACAAAGGATTGAAGTTACAAATGTAGCTTTCTTTGGAACGATAGAAGATCAAACGCCCGGAATCAAACATGCAATACGTAATAGTAGATATCATGACACGATTTTTCTCTCGATTCGTGATACTTTTGAGCAATTGTTATTATATGTCGGTCGCAATTGACGCGATATTTATTACTCTCACTCATTTATAACACACATGTTCTATTTGACAACTGACGGTGGCAATCAAATTAGTTACATATCAATTTAATCAATGCGCGCATCCGATATTACGTTAATGCGTTACTCCACACACTGTCAGGCGAAATATATTTTATTGATTTTATCTAGAACGATACGTGACGCGATATACATATACTACAGAAAATCCACAAGAAAGATATTTCTGTACATTAAAGAGAAAGAGCCCAATGCACAAGGAAATGAGAGCTCGTATCTCATTTGTGCGCCGCACACTGCGTGCACATTCTCTCGCACGAACAAATATTAAATCTAGAAGATACTCGCGGTTCGCTTTCCGCTCCTTCTGGAGCCGGCAACCAGGAAAAAGACTGCGGTGCTTAAAGAACAGGATAGTGTTTAGAATAACGTGGAACATTAAGCTTGACAAGCGGACAAAATCTCTACATGGTCTGAATATTTAAAGTAAAATTCTCAGTTCCGTGTTTCACAAAAGTATATGCATCGCGAAACGTGCGGTCACGGTAAATGTGAGAGTCGTAAAGTGCGGTCACCAAGTGTACGGCAACACTCATTTGGGATGGACGCACGTGCGTCGTTCGAGACCCCACCGAGAACTTTCGCTTTTGCTTAATCGACTAACATAAGTTCACGAGTGGGAAAACTTGCGCGCGTCGGCAAAAAAATTCGGTGACATCGCACTAAGTACCGTTAGCTTACGTTGCGATCGATTGCGATCCACCCTCGTCGAATTTCCAGTATTTGATATATGTAAAGCCATTTTCTCCGACGCGCGCAAAACGTCCTTCCACGAGGGGCGCAGCAGAAATTATCGTAAACCCTCACGAATATTTCCACCTATCTCGCCGTGCTTTCTTTTTTTGTCTCTCGAAGAATCCTCGCGCGTATATTTCTTTCTTGCTTCGAAGGAAAAAATATCAGACGGGATATGAGAAGCTTTGTATGATTTAACGCGTACGTTTTGCTTCTGTTGCTGCAAAGGAGATGGGGCGCGATTCAATCGACGTTATCTCCGTGAAGCTGTTGGTGCGACGAACATCGCACAAAAGCAACAAGAAGAAATCGCCTTTGCATTCGTACAAAGATAAAATTAATTGTTACTATTTTATGAATTTCTACTCTCTCGGAAACGCTTCCACTGTCGACAACACGTTCGCCGCGGTATATACACAGAGAACGGATCGATCGTGCGTTAACTGAACGACGATTTCAACGGGCGCCAATTCGTCATTATGCAAAGCCGTACGCATAGAAAGCACTTGGAAAGAGTCGTTTTAATTAATTAAAACAACGCGACGAATTCACGTGTTCGCCGCTGACAGTTCCAATTTAAAGTCGGATTATTCGAAATACTGTGGATATCGACAGGCGGAGATTTGCATCTCAAATGCGAATGTCCTTAACGTTGCTTCCGGCAAGCAGACATACGCTTGCGTTTTATCGCAAAAACTCTCTAATTGTAACGGTACTAAAACGAACAATAAGCAAATCAGAGATATTTTTAATTTATTGTAAGCCACATATTCATAAAGAATAGAATATATTCGTTTTATCTTTTCTGATAGCAGGTTTTTAGTTTAGCAGAAAAAAAGAGAAACAGAGAAAAGTTATAATTTTTTAATATATTCATGTATCCAGACCGTAATCTTCCCATTCTCTTTTGTACATACAATTTATGTTTTATTGTTATTTATGTCTTATTGTTATTCATACAAGTTTACGATTTTTACATATTTTCCATATTACTATATTTCTTTTCATAATAGTTATGGGCAAATATGCCGCGCGCACGCGCCGTTGAGTAAAGCATATAGCCAAAAAAATGCTCGGTATTCCTACGGTTAACCTTCAGAAATTTATATCAGCCGGTCGCGACGTCGACCCGATATTACCGATTATTTCACCAGAATTAATAACGCTGTCATTTTCCCTAATAACGGTAATAAACGCGTTTTACATCCCTGATGCGGTATTCACAGAAGCATGGAAATTCTAGACAGCAATTGCGCTTCGCGAACGTAAAACGACACGCCGATTACATTAGAAATACGTTCCATTCTCTGAACGCGCGCGGAGCAGCACACCGACTACCCATCGGTAGTCGGAGGTTGCCCCACGTGCGTTCGTTGCCCCGCAGGAAATTGCACATGCAAATCGAGCTTTTTTCTTACGCGGCAGCGTAACCATCCCGTCTCCAAAGCGAACTTCACGTAATTTATGAGAGCGCTTCAGCATTTGAATAGAAGCGCAGTGTGCCAGCAAATAAGCGATTTAATCCGTGACTAAGACCGCACAAGAAATTGCATCGAATTCTGAATAAAGCGAGTCACTTATATTTATGACTGATATTCACAAAGGAAAGAATTCGGACGATAAGCGTGTAAAATAAATACATTTAAACTATACTTTGAGTGTGTAACTATAAAACACTCGCTAAAACACTTTCTGCCACTAAAGTAAAAGACGTTTTTTTTTTTCGGGGAAAAAAAGAAAGACATTTTTTTAACCGAGATCGCGTAGAAAGGTAACAGTACTCAAAGAGATACGATACGAGACACTATCGAGAAAGCGAATAAACAAGCTGAAAGATGGAGAAAGAAATAGCTAGCCACTCCGTGCATGGCTGCAAATGAGGCCGCAGATGTGCTAGGCGATAAGAGATGATAGAAAGTGGTTCGTGAAAAGAGCCATCGCGGTAGTTATTCGCGGCGAAGGCACCGAACGGTCGGTGCTGGTGCAGCATAGCGCATCTACGAAACGCTTCTGCCACTATACTGCGAATAAGCATTCGTTCGCATAAGGAAGGAGTGCACGTGTACGGTGTGGAAGGCACCACGAGCATTCCGCTTTATGCGATCGCGCGTTCAAATCATCCTAACGAAGTGGCTGAGTTTCGCAATTTACTGTCAAATGGTCTTTGCTTCAGCAGCTGGAGCGTGCTAAATGTAAATCGTGGGAAGAACGGTACCGCGAATGAGAGAAACTGAAGTTGAGAATCCCCGCTGAAGGAAGAAATCTGCTTTTAACGATTCATGATCGTCTCAAGCGCAAAATTCATGATCATCGTCTCTCATAACTTTCTATTTTACATCGTACTAGAATTTATATAAATAGTCATTTATACATTTAATGTCTATTGAATTCACAATCGTGGTTAAATTAAAGAAACCATTTTCGCAAGCGATCTTGAAATAGATGCCGATGAGTATTTAATCGACAACCTTGAGAGAGAGAAGATGAAGGGAGAGCCTTCAAGATTTGCCATTCTGGTAATTGAAACCTGGCGTGAGCCTCGAGGCAAGGAACGCTTAATAGCCAAAGTTAGTCGCGTTTCTATGCAAATTAAATGCTTACAGCCATCGAGAGGTGAGCTACGTGGGGTGGCGATGGCGGTGGCCGTTTCCCCCTCGCTGTTTATCTACCGGGAGGTTCTTGGACGACTCGCAACGTAAATAGTTAGTGCCTGTGGGCTGCGACGAACGGCCAACGTGTGCGGAATAACGATAAGCTTCTAACGTTGCTGAACAAGGAGCCATATTTATGTGTCTCGCATGTTCCACGTTTTTCTTTGTCCACCAACCGCCGCTAAAAGCGTTCCGAAGTTTCGACGTGTACCCAGTATGCGCATTAACGTCGCAAAACAACGCGTAAGCCCCCCCAGAAAAGCTTTATGCGAAACAACTCGATCCAACTAATATCTGAGTATTTCTTCCCTAGTAAACATAAAGAGAAATCCGCGCAGGTGTTCGCGATATTTCGATTAACAGCTCAAAGACATCAAAAAAATTCTTACGCGTGAATAATCTTGCACTCAACGCAATATGCGTAATACTGTGAGTAAAACAAGTACGTGTAACCCCATCCTCGACCTAGGGTTGACCAGCAAGGACTTCTGTTTACACTTAGCTTTATTGCTTTCCGGACAAATGCGCACCGGCTGAGTCAGCCTGACATTAAAACCTTTTTCGTGAGGTGTGACTATCAGTTGTCGCTGATCAGGTTGCGAATGAGACAAATAAGGACGTCGGAAGGCCACCTTGCAAACGATTTTTCATTGTCCCCTCACTTACTCCGCCCTCACAAAGCCTTCCGTCTTAAAACACCCCGAACTATATACGCGGCATATGGGACTCGGTTAAGGCTCGAGGCTACACGCGCCACGTAAAACATGCGAACAAGTAATATTCGTCTTTTCACGCAAG